GCACACACAGGTACTGCACACACAGGTACTATACACACAAGTACTACACATACATACACACACAGGTACTGCACACACAGGTACTACACACACAGGTACTACACACAAGTACTACACACACAAGTACTGCATCACACAGGTACTACACACACACATACTATACACACAACAAGTACTACACACCAACTACATACACACACAAGTACTAACACACACAAGTACTATACACACAAGCATACTGTACACACACACAAGTACTAAATACTACACACACAAGGTACTGCAACACAGTACTGCACACACAAGTACTATACACACTACTACACACACAGTACTACACACATACACACACACAAGTACTATAACTTATACAACAGTACTATACACACAAGTACTGCACACACAGGTACTACACACACACACAGTACTACACACACAAGTACTACACACAACTAGTACTATACACAGGTACACACACGGTACTATACACAACAACAAGTACACAGTACTACTACACACACACAAGTACTACACACACAAGTACTACACACACAGGTACTGCACACACAGGTACTGCACACACAAGGTACTACACACACAAGTACTACACACACACAAGTACTACACACACAACAGGTACTGCACACACAGGTACTACACACACAGTACTATACACACAAGTACTACACACACACAAGTACTGCACACACAGGTACTGCACACACAGGTACTGCACACACAAGTACTACACACACACAAGTACTACACACACACAGTACTAACACACAAAGTACTACACACACTATACAGTACTATACACACACACACACAGGTACTGCATACTATACACACAAGTACTACACACACAAGGTACTGCACACACACACACACAGTACTACACACACAAGTACTACACACAAGTACTACACACAGGTACTGCACACACAGGTACTATACACACAAGTCTATACCACACAGTACTATACACACACAGTACTACACACAGTACACACACACACAGTAACTGCACACACAGGTACTGCATACAGGTACACACAAGACACACAAAGTACTGCACCACAGGTACACACACAAGTACTGCACACACAAGTACTACACACACAGGTACTACACACACAGGTACTGCACACACAGGTACTGCACACACAGGTACTAATACACACACAAGTACTATACACACACAGTACTATACACACACAAGTACTACACACACAGGTACTGCACACACAGGTACTACACACACAAGTACTACACACACAAGTACTATACACACACAAGTACTATACACACAAGTACTATACACACAGTACTACACACAGTACTAAGTACACCACACAAGTACACACACACAAGTACTATACACACAAAGTACTACACACAAGTACTACACACACATACAAGTACTGCACACACACACACACGGTACTATACACACAGTACTATACACACAGTACTACACACACACAAGTACTACACACACAAGTACTACACACACAGGTACTGCACACACAGGTACTATACACACAAGTACTACACACACAAGTACTATACACACACATACACACAGTACTATACACACACAGTACAAGTACACACACAGTATACTACACACACATACTACACACACTCTACTGCACACACAGTCTACACAGTACTATACACACAATACTACACACAGTACTACTACACACACAAGTACTACACACACACACAGTACTATACACACAAATACACTGTACTATACACACAAGTACTACACACACAATACACACACTACACAGTACTATACACACAAGTACTATACACACACAAGTACTACACACACAAGTACTACACACACAGGTACTACACACACAAGTACTATACACACACAAGTACTACACACACAAGTACTACACACACACAAGTACTACACACACAAGTACTAACACACACGGTACACAGTACTACACACACACTACACACACAGTACTATCACACACAAGTACTATACACACAAGTACTACACACACAAGTACTACACACATACACACAGTACTATACACACAAGTACTACACACAAGTACTCACACAGTACTACACACAGTACTACACACACAGTACTACACACACACAGTACTATACACACATACACACACACACAAGTACTGCACACACAGGTACTGCACACACAAGTACTACACACACAGGTACTACACACAAGTACTACACACACAAGTACTATACACACACAAGGTACTTACACACACAAGTACTACACACACAAGTACTATACACACAAGTACTACACACACAACAAGTACTGCACACACAGGTACTGCACACACAAGTACTACACACACAACACAAGTACTACACACACAAGTACTACACACACAGGTACTATACACACAAGTACTACACACACAGGTACTACACACACAAGTACTACACACAGGTACTATACACACACACACAAGTACTACACACAAGTACTATACACACACAAGTACTACACACACAAGTACTATACACACAGTACACACACAGGTACTACACACAAGTACTACACACACAAGGTACTGCACACACAGGTACTAACACACACAAGTACTATACACACAAGTACTACACACACAAGTACTACATACACACAAACTACATACTACACACACAGTACTACACACACACAGTACTACACACAAGTACTACACACAAGTACTACACACACAGTACTACACACACAGGTACTACACACACACTACTACACACAGTACTACACACACACAGTACTACACACACACAGTACTATACACACAGTACTACACACAAGTACTACTACACACACAAGTACTACACACACAGGTACTACACACACAAGTACTATACACACAGGTACTATACACACAAGTACTACACACACAGTACTACACACAAGTACACACACACATACTACACACACAAGTACTACACACACAGGTACTACACACACAGGTACTATACACACACAAGTACTACACACACAGGTACTACACACACAAGTACTACACACACAGGTACTACACATACACACAAGTACTACACACACACAGGTACTACTACACACACAGTACTACACACACAGGTACTACACACACATACACACAGTACTACACACACAGTACTATACACACAAGTACTATACACACAAGTACTATACACACAAGTACCATACACACACAAGTACTACACACACACAAGTACTACACACACACACACACAACACAAGTACTACACACACAAGTACTACACACACAGGTACTACACACACACATACTACACACACAGGTACTACACACACAAGTACTACACACACAGGTACTACACACACACAAGTACTACACACACAGGTACTATACACACAAGTACTACACACACAAGTACTACACACACAAGTACTATACACACAAGTACTATACACACAAGTACTACACACAAGTACTACACAACACACAGTACTATACACACAAGTACTATACACACACAAGTACTACACACACACAGTACTACACACACAAGTACTGCACACACAAGTACTACACACACAAGTACTACACACACATACACACACACAGTACTACACACACACACACACAAGTACTACTACACACAAGTACTACACACACAAAGTACTACTACACACACAGGTACTACACACACAGTACACACATACACACACAAGTACTATACACACAAGTACTATACACACACAAGTACTACACACACAAGTACTACACACACAAGTACTATACACACACAAGTACTATACACACAAGTACTACACACACACACAGTACTACTACACACAAACTACTACACACACACACACACAGTACTACACACACAAGTACTACACACACAACAGTACTACACACACAAGTACACACACACAAGGTACTGCACACACACAGTACTACACACACAGTACTACACACACACAAGTACTATACACACAAGTACTACACACACAAGTACTACACACACAAGTACTATACACACACAGTACTATACACACACAAGTACTACACACACAAACTACACACAAGTACTATACACACAAGTACTACACACACAGGTACTATACACACAAGTACTACACACACAGGTACTATACACACAAGTACTACACACACAAGTACTACACACACAGGTACTACACACACAAGTACTACACACACAAGTACTATACACACAAGTACTACACACACAAGTACTACACACACAAGGTACTATACACACACAAGTACTACACACACAGTACTACACACACACATACTACACACACAGTACTATACACACACAGTACTACTACACACACAGTACTACACACACAGTACTATACACACACAAGTACTACACACACACAGTACTACACACACAAGTACTACACACACAAGTACTACACACACAGGTACTGCACACACAGGTACTACACACACAGGTACTATACACACAGTACTACACACACAAGTACTACACACACAAGTACTACACACACAAGTACTACCAACAAACCCTCATGTTACACTTGGACCTTCCAGGTCTGTCCAGCTTCTTCCTCCACCAGCAGATCCACCCAAAGAACTGACATGTTAATACATACTTAATACTTTCTGTACATTAACATAAAAATCAAATCAAAAAGCTGAAGAATTTGTGAAAAAGTTACACAATGCAGCTTTAAATGGAATTACGGAAAAATGCTTTTACAAATTTTATGAATAAATTGTAGAATTTTGAAAATGTTTGTTTGTTTGTTTTTCAGCCAAAACTGACGATGTGAAAGTGTCAGAGAGGAGCAGTGTGACTCCTCCGTCCGACGCCGACGATCTGAAGAAGAACCGGAGCTCTGCCAACGTGCCCCTGAGCCAGACACTCACAGAGGCTCCGCCCGGCGCCCTCTCCTCCCGCGCCTCAAACTCCAGCTCCTCCTTCGGGTTCAAGAAGCCGGGCGCCCTGGTCACGGCCAGCGGAGCCACCATCACCAGCGGCTCTGCCACCCTGGGCAAACTGCCCAAGTCCAGCAGAGCTCTGACTGCAGGTGACCGACGCTCCAGGACCCGCCCGGGTCCCTCACCCTCACTCACCTCACAGACCTGCACTCTGTAGCGCCCCCTACAGTCACTCACACACAGAGACATTCACACTCACAGGTCACAGGTCACTGCAGTCGGGTCATGTGACTCTGGAGTCTGGTGAAAAAAGTCTCAACCAAGATTGTCCAAACTTTTTTCATCAAGGGCCACATATCTGAACACAGACGAAGCAGAGGCCGATCGAGGGCCACAGACCAGTGCTCAACTGATAATTGATCATTGAAATATGTGCATGTTTAACATGTTAGAATGAACCGTCTTTATTCACGTAAAGATTCTCAAAACCACAAACTAAATACTAAATATTGACTTTATCAAGGTAGATTTTCAACAAAAACCTTGCAATAAAAAGTAAAATTTTCATTGATGCAGGTAATTTGGGCCAATTCTCCTGGAAGCCTGAGGGCCAAGAAAAATCTGTCTGAGGGCCGCATTTGGCCCACGGACCATAGTTTGGACATGCCTGGTCTAAAGTCTAAACTTTGATAAAACCAGATTTCTGTCATAAATAAACATCAGATCAGATCAGACTCACACAAGAGTTTATGGACTAATAATAATCAGACGAGTTTTTCACGTAAACAGACCGGAGGATTTTCTTTTAGTCTGAGATTTGGAAATGAGCTCCGTGTTTCTCGTGCAGGTGCGGGTCTGAAGTCCGGACAGGAAGTGGGCGGTTCCCTGAGTCACCACGACGACACCTTCTTACCCATGAGCGCTCGGGGCACGCTGCAGTACCGCAGCCTGCCCAGGCCGGGGCGCTCCGGAGCCGCCGCCCGCAACGGCAACAGGTCGTCCACCAGCAGCATCGAGGCGGCGGCGCTCTCCGTCACCAACAAGAACAGCCCGCTCGGAAAACTGACCAACCAGACGGACCGCGAGAAGGGGGCGGAGCCTGCGACGGCGGCGACGGGGAGCGCGGGCGGGAGGCAGCAGGTGTCCTCGCCGACGCTGCGCAGGTGAGAGATCGAGACCCGACTCATGACGACGCACCGGGCTCAGGAGTTTCTTTTGTTAAAGCTGCACTCTGTAACTTTTCTGGAGGCTTCATCAAACACTTTTCTCCATGGAGATTCCGGAATGTTCCACAGTCGCCGCGTTTACATGAGAGATTTAACTCCGAATAAAAATAATGTCATTCTGCTTTAAAAAAGTCCATGGATTATTCAGAATTAAACTTCATTCCGGAGTAAATTTGTGGTTTTATTCAGAAAGACAAAATGAATTTATTCCTCGATCATGAAAACTCCCTCTCTCCCTCCTCTCACTCCTCTCTCTCCTCTCTCTCACTCCCTCTCTCCCTCCTCTCACTCCTCTCTCTCCCTCCTCTCACTCTCTCTCTCTCCTCTCCTCTCTCTCACTCTCTCTCTCCCTCTCTCCTCTCTCTCTCTCTCCTCTCTCTCTCACTCTCTCTCTCCTCTCCTCTCACTCCCTCTCTCCCTCCTCTCACTCCTCTCTCTCCCTCCTCTCTCACTCCTCTCTCTCCTCTCCTCTCACTCTCTCTCTCCTCTCTCTCTCTCACTCTCTCTCTCTCCTCTCACTCTCTCTCTCCCTCCTCTCACTCTCTCTCTCCCTCCTCTCACTCTCTCTCTCCCTCCTCTCACTCCCTCTCTCCCTCCTCTCACTCCCTCTCTCCCTCTCTATCCTTCCTTCTCTTCTCCCCTCTCTTTCTCTCCCTCTTTCCTTCTCTCTCCCTTTTCTCTTCTTCCCTCTCTATCCCTTCCTCCCTTTTTCTCTCTCCTTCCCTCTCTTCCTCCCTCTATCTTTTTCTCTCTCCCTCTCCTTCTATTTTCCTCTCTCCTTCCCTCTCTTCTTTCTTCTCTATCCCTCCCTCTTTCCCTCCCTCCCTCTTTCCTTCCTTCTCATCCTTCTCTCTCCCTCTCTTCTTCTCTCTCTCTCTCCCTGTTTCCTTCTCTCTCCCTTCTCTCTTCTTCCCTCTCTTCCTCCCTCTCTCCTTTTCTCTTCCTCCTTCCTTTCCTTAATTTAACCCCAAAAGTTCTCTCTCTCCTCTCCCTCGTTCCTCCTCTCTTTTTTCTCGTTTTTCTCTTTCTCCCTCTGACCTAATTTAACCCAAACATGAACCCTCTCTCTCTCTCTCTCTCTTTCTCTCTCTTCTCTCTCTCTTTCTCTCTTTCTCTCTTTCTCTCTTTCTCTCTCTCAACTGTACAAACTTGTTACACTTTCCTTCTCTCTTTCTTTCTCTCTCCTTTAATCTCACATGAGCCCTCTCCCTCTCTCTCTCTCTTTCTCTCTCTCTTTCTTTCTTTCTTTCTTTCTTTCCTAACCCCCTCCTCCTTTTAACTGTACAAACTTGTTAAACTTTTCTCTTTCTCTTTCTTTCTTTCTCTCTCTTGACTGTACAGACTTGTCACACTTTCCCCCTCTCTTTCTCTCCTCCGTTTCTTTCTCTCTTTTCTTTTTCTCTTTCTCTGTGTGTCCGTCGTTCGTGTCGGAGCAGGAGCCTCGTCCACGTTTCAGATTAAGTTTCACTCTTCATAATGAACCGTTGTTTCAAACCAGAACCAAAGAAACACAAAGAGGAGAAAAAACTCAACTCAACTAAACTCAAACTAAACTAAACTCTGTTCTTTAAACGACACGACGGGATTTTCCACGTTTAAACGACAGAACTTTCTTTTCTCTTCCCGCGTGTCGTTATGTGTCTGCGTGATCCTCAGGCAGGTTCCATAATCCTCGTTTCCATGGGGACGGAACAGCAGGACTCGGAGTGTTTCCGCAGATCAGCACCGACACTTCAAAACGCTCGGGAATAAAACTCTTTACGTTTTTCTGTTTCCAGTTGTGTGGATGTAATAAAACCAAACCTCTGCAGTTTGACACGTGTTTCTCTGGATTAGACTCGTGGGTTTGATGTTGTTTTTCACACTTTAGATCAGGCATGTCCAAACTATGGCCCGGGGGCCAAATGCGGCCCTCAGACAATTTTTTCTTGGCCTTCAGGCTTCTAGGAGAATTGGCCCAAATTAGCTTAAAAATTGAACTTTTTACTACCAGATTTTTGTGGAAAATCTACCTTGATAAAGCTGATATTTAATATTTAGTGTGTGGTTTTATCCCTCTCAGGCTCAAATTAAATTTTAGTAACAGGAAAAAATCTGATATTTGGGGAAAATGATCATATGGGGCAGTAATATACAATCCTGACTTTTTTTTTTGAGAGACCTTCACATCCAGTGAGTCTGGGATGTTTCAGATTTGCAGCATTGGTCTGGTGTGATAAATTAACACTGAAGACTGAAAATGATATGAACACTAACTTTATGTGTAAACCACTTTTCATAAGAATGAAAACATAAATCACAGTGTAACAGATTTACAGCGGCACAACAACATCACTTTTTAATGTGATTCTCCAAGAAACAATTTTTATCCTTTAAACAACAAAAGTACTTTGCACTTCTGGCAGGTCGTTTGTGTGTTGTTGTTCTCGCACAGTTTGCATCGTCCACGTTTATCAGCAGGGACGGGAAAAAAGGTTCCTGAGTAAAAAAAGCTCATAAAATATGGATTTGGAGTAAGTAGGTAATTAGCATTTAGCTGTTGCAAATCTGCAGCGTCTGCCTGGAGAGGGTTAAGGATCTTAGAATGAGCCATTAGTCTTTATTCATTTTAACATGTTAAATCTGAACATATTTTAATTATTCACAGTATTGAGCCCCAGTCGATCGGCCTCTGCTTCATCTGTGTTTAGAGATGTGGCCCTTGATGAAAAAAGTTTGGACACTCCTGCTTTAGATCTTAGTGATGTCAAATTCTAATTTATGTGAACGTGCGTCGTTCATTTGGACATTTGTGTTCTGCTCAAACAGGCTCCGACTAAACGAGCACAGATCCACAGGAATCCAGAACCAGCGGAATATAAAATAATAATATTTTAAATAAATCATGTCTCTAGAGTTAATCTGTGTGCGGCGGCAGCTCTGATACAGATTTGATGATCTCACAGACCAAATATTATTATATAAAGGGCCAAATTTGGCCCCCGGGCCTGAGTTTGACATATCTGATTCATGAGTCGGTTTCACTTGGTGGAAACCGTGTGACCTCACAGCGTTAGGATTCATTTGCTCGACAGTAGGATTGTTCTTTTTTTATTGAACCAATCGCTGCTGTTTGATCGTGACGTTTGTGATGCTCCAAATCCTGTAGGAAGAAGAACAATAATGTTCCAGCTTTAATTTCTTGATCTTGGGAATCGTTCTTCTCTGTCTCTTCTCTGATTGGCTGGTGCCTGAACTCGCACTTCCTGGGTTTTTGTAAACTGTCTGGTGTTTTCTGATTCGTTAGAGAGAAATGAAAGTGAGAGGAGGCACTAGGGGCACATGTTTGTGTTAGAGTCTCACATGTTTGTGTCTAGTGTTAAATATCCCGGTTATGAGAAACTGAAATACTGTAGCTGGTATATTCCTGTAGTATTCTTGAACACTGTGGCCTGTAGACGCAGTGTCCCGGTTGAGTACACGTGTGTCCAAAAGACAAACAAACAAACAGCTGTGGCAAGTTTGAAGAGACGTTTATGCAAATGAGTCATGTGGTTTTAAGTTTAGTTTGTGTAAAACGTAAACAAAAGTGACAAAGCTTCATTTTAATCTGAAACGGGCTGATGTGGCTCTAGAGTCGTTATGTTTATATGTCGTAAAGTTGAGTTTATTTATGCAGAAGATTTTAATGAATAATCTGCTCCAGTGTAAAACTCGTACAATGGTGTTTGGAAACGTCTGGTTTGATCTGAGCAGTGGATTGTGGGAAACCTCAGGAACCTCCCGAGTTTCCGACGCTGAAGGAGCTCGTGTTTGTTTGTATTTAAGATTGTGTTAATAAACCGGGATTCTCCATTTGATCATGTCCACGGGGATATTAGTCTCGAGTCTCGGTGTCTCAACTCGCACGTAAGCAGCATTCCGAATCCTGACATAACCCGGACATGGATAATACCCGGGATACTGATGTGCAGGGAAACACACTCAAAGTCCACATCCAGTCAAAATCTGCTGTGTCCACGTAAAGTTAAATCCAAACTAAAGACATGAACGTGAACCAAAACTCCGCCCACATCCTCCTCCTCGATCCCGGTAAAAGTGTCATTCCTCAAATCTGATGTATACGTCCAAAGTTGAGTCCGCGTAAAGTTTTCCATAAATCTCCGGTCATATACTTGTCTTTGTGCTTTGTTTTTGTGATTTTCAGGACTTTCTGTCAGTTTTTAGAGCTCGTCTTTTCCTAATTTTGTTCTAAATGATCTGTGTTTTTGTGTTTTTTTCCCGCAGATTGTTCGGAGGAAAGTCGAGTAAACAGGCTCCAGTGACGACGTCCGAAAATATGAAGAACTCTACAGTGATCTCCAACCCCCTGACCAGCGCCACGGACAGAGACCACGGAGACAGCGAACAGGTCCTCCTCTGACCCTCCTCTGACCCTCCTCTGACCCTCTCCTCCTCTGACCCTCTCCTCCTCTGACCTCTCCTCCTCTGACCCTCCTCTGACCCTCTCCTCCTCTGACCCTCCTCCTCTGACCCTCTCTCCTCTGACCCTCCTCCTCTGACCCTCTCCTGACCCTCCTCTCTGACCCTCCTCTCTCCTCCTCCCTGACCCTCTCTGACTCCTCTCTGACCCTCTCCTCCTCTGACCCTCTCCTCCTCTGACCTCCCTCCTCTGACCCTCTCCTCTCTCTGACCCTCTCTCCTCTGACCCTCTCCTCCTCTCCTGACCCTCTCTCCTCTGACCCTCTCTCCTCCTCTGACCCTCCTCCTCCTCTGACCCTCCTCCTCTGACCTCTCCTCCTCTGACCCTCTCCTCCTCTGACCCTCCTCCTCTGACCCTCTGACCCTCTCCTCCTCTGACCCTCTCCTCCTCTGACCCTCCCTCCTCTGACCCTCTCCTCCTCTGACCCTCTCCTCCTCTGACCCTCTCCTCCTCTGACCCTCCTCCTCTGACCCTCCTCTGACCCTCTCCTCCTCTGACCCTCTCCTCTCCTCTGACCCTCCTCCTCTGACCCTCTCCTCGACCCTCTCCTCCTCTGACCCTCTCCTCCTCTGACCCTCTCCTCCTCTGACCCTCTCCTCCTCTGACCCTCTCCTCCTCTCTGACCCTCCTCCTCTGACCCTCTCTCCTCTCCTCTGACCTCTCTCCTCCTCTGACCCTCCTCCTCTGACCCTCTCCTCCTCTCCCTGACCCTCTCCTCCTCTGACCCTCCTCTCCTCTCTGACCCTCTCCTCCTCTCTCTGACCCTCTCCTCCTCTGACCCTCTCCTCCTCTGACCCTCTCCTCTCCCTCTCCTGACCCTCCTCCTCCTCTGACCCTCCTCTGACCCTCTCCTCCTCTCCCTGACCCTCTCCTCCTCTCCTCTGACCCTCTCCTCCTCTGACCCTCTCTCCTCCTCTGACCCTCTCCTCCCTCTGACCCTCTCCTCCTCCTCTGACCCTCTCCTCCTCTGACCCTCCTCCTCTGACCCTCTCCTCCTCTGACCCTCTCCTCCTCTGACCCTCTCCTCCTCTGACCCTCTCCTCCTCTGACCCTCTCCTCCCTCCTCTGACCCTCTCCTCTGACCCTCTCCTCCTCTGACCCTCTCCTCCTCTGACCTTCTCCTCCTCTCTCCTCCTCTCTCTGACCCTCTCTCCTCCCTCTGACCTCTCCTCCTCTGACCCTCTCCTCCTCTGACCCTCTCCTCCTCTGACCCTCCTCTGACCCTCTCCTCCTCTGACCCTCTCCTCCTCTGACCCTCTCCTCCTCTGACCCTCTCCTCCTCTCCTCCTCTGACCCTCTCCTACCTCTCCTCTGACCCTCTCCTCTCTGACCCTCTCCTCCTCTGACCCTCTCCTCCTCTCTGACCCTCCTCCTCCTCCCTCTGACCCTCTCCTCCTCTCTGACCCTCTCCTCCTCCTCTGACCCTCTCCTCCTCTGACCCTCTCCTCCTCTGACCCTCTCCTCCTCTGACCCTCTCCTCCTCCTCTGAATCAGGTGTCTGAATCATATTTTGATCTGGTTTGTGCGCCTCTCCTTCGTGTTGGAGCAGGTCTGTGTCTGTGACTCAGCCTCACGCTCAGATCCGTTCCTCTCTCCTCATGTTTCAGGAATTTTGAAATCGTATTCCAAACGTTTTGTTCTGTTGGGTTTGATGAGATTAGATCAGTGGAGAAAACGGTCGACGCTCTGACCGATTTTCACTAAAACTTGTTTTTCTCAAGTACAGATTTTAAGGCTTAGTCACAATAACGAGCAAGAGTGATTCACCTGTTCGGGTGCTGACATTTCTTGGTCCGTGGAGGCCCGTTTGGTTCCTTAGAGGAGAGTTTTCATAAGAGTGGTGTAAGTGTGGCTTGTGGGTCCCATGAGACTTGTACGGGACACTGGGAGAAATCTGGGCAAAGTGGGTCATGTGAGTGTCGAGTGCGAGTGACACCTGCGTGACGTGTACTTGACCCAGACTTCCTCCGTAAGTGTGAGATACCTGCTTGATACGAGCTGCCGCCCGTAGGCCACTCGCAGGAAAAAATGTGCATGAACATTTCCTCCCTACGGACTCACCGGGCGTCTACGAGCTCGGAGTCTTGTACGGGCCACTTCTGAGCCCCGTACGAACTTGAGCCAAAAATCGACTGTGAACCGTGAACAAAAACCGACGTTAGCTGTAGAAATAAAGTGGATTTGGATTTTGGAGTTGGTTGTGGTAATACAGGAAGTTTTCTTTTAAAGGGCCCATCTGACGCAAAATGAACTTTTCAGATCTTTCTACCTTCTCAGAGTGATGTGTGGCCTTGTATTTGTCACTGAAGTGGTTTTTAGATTGATTTGGTGGTTTTTTAAACAAATTTCAGTGTATTTGTGCCTCCCTCCCACGTGACAACGAACTAAAGCTGCTACAACGACGATGACGCAGATTCACCTATGACGCACCCCCTCCCCTCCACCGCCTTCTCCAGTTTACACAATATAATAAGTTTATCTATTAGTGTTTATTAATACTTTACCAATCAGTAATGTTCAGCTGATGTGGACTCGGTGCTTGAGCTTCGTGCTCCTCAAAGTCCTCGTCCGATTCAGGGTCCAACACATGCGGCTGTATCTCCATGATGAATAAAAGTTTATTCCTGCCGCTATCAGCGTCACGTCTGTCTCCCCCTCCCTCCCTCAGACGGCGGAGGAAGGGCGGCTCACTCGTCGCCTACGTCACGTTTGGAGGGCGGAGCCTGTGCTTTCTCAGGACGGGCGGGGGGAGGAGCAATAGTCGGACTTTCATAGTTCCAAATTGTGCTTGTGTAGGCGAGTTTCAGCTGACGTCATTGTTATTAAAAGCCGGCGTTGCTGCTGGGAAATATTTTGGTCGGAGGCAAGAAACACGGTAGCGTCAAACACAGTGTGTAACCTCGCGTATTTATCCCTGATAATGTTAAACTCCTGCTGCATTATCGGACGCACAAATAGAAACACGGAAGAAGGAAAATGTCTTTTTCATATTCTGAGTGAAAAGAACCACTAACGGTGAATTAAACGACTTTCAAACATCCGCAGAGCAAACGTAGAAGATCCTAACAAACCTGGACTCAACAAGTTCAACAACACATCCAGACTCTTGGAGGTTTTCATCTTTTCTGCTGTGAACGGCCCAGGAGTTTCCACCAAGTCATTGTGGATGTCGCCCAAGTGAATATTTGTCCAGGTAGTTGGAGATTCTGACCAGAAGTTTGGTTTGGTCCAGACTCTGTCGGGGTTGAAAAGGGTGATTTGTCGTCCGTCGATGTTTATGACCAATTTGTGGTCACATGGTCTTGGGTCGTCTGCTGTTAGACTGGATAAATAACCGGGATCAATACCCTTTACGTGCTTTTCTCACTCCGTCCGTCATGTTCAATTAGTGTTTCTTGCCGCCGAACAAAATAATTCCCAGCATGAAACGCACGCTTTGGTCAACAATGAAACTCATCTATATGTGCAGAAGATACAATGTGAAGAGTTATTTTATATGAGATGGACATTTAAAGCGTAAAACCTCAGGACACACGTGGATCTTCTAACGTCTTGTTTTCTCTCCAGGCGTCGACCCCGGGCTCGGTGTACTCCTCCGGGCCGTCGGGCAGTTTGACCTGGGGCGCCTCCGCAAACACCTCCAGAGACGGGACCCTGAGCTCCGGGTACGGCCCCAGCAGAGACGGGACCCTGAGCTCCACGGGCCCCAGCAGAGACGGGACCCTGAGCTCCACGGGCCCCAGCAGAGACGGGACCCTCGGCTCCACGGGCCCCGGCAGAGAGGGCCCGGCGGGGGCGGGCGGGTCGGGGAGCGGCGGGTTCCCCTCCGTCAGCAGCATGCACACCAGCAGCGAGTCCATAGACGTGAGCGGCGCCCCCTACCAGCGCGACGAGCCGCCTGCCCTGGGGCGGACGGGCAGCGCCAAGGCCGGCGTGTCCGACAGGTGAGGGGCACCCGTCTCTGCGTCCCACCCGTCCTCCAGGGTCTCCGGGTTAAACCTGTCAGGACCAGCGAGATCTGAGCCAGGACCACAGACGGAACCTTTTCCAGATCTGGTTTAGTCTCTTTTTCAGTCCTGGTTTTGTCCTGGTTTAGTCCTGGTTTAGTCCTGGTTTAGACCTGGTTTAGTCCTGGTTTAGTCCTGGTTTAGTCCTCTTGTAGTCCTGGTTTAGTCCTGGTTTAGTCCTCCAGTAGTCCTGGTTTAGTCCTGGTTTAGTCCTGGTTTAGACCTGGTTTAGTCCTGGTTTAGTCCTGGTTTAGTCCTCTGTAGTTTAGTCTGAGTAGTCCTCCAGGTTAGTCCTGGTTAGTCTGTCTGTACATTTCTTTTTCTTAACTCTCTTTCTCTCTGGCCTCAGACCTCTTGTAGTCCTGGTTTAGTTCTGGTTTAGTCCTCCAGTAGTCCTGGTTTAGTCCTCTTGTAGTCCTGGTTTAGTCCTCCAGTAGTCCTGTTATTGTCTGGGTTTAGTTCTGGTGTAGTTCTGTCTTCTCTTGTACATTTCTTTTTCCTGACTCTCTCTTTCTCTCTCTGTTCTCAGACCTCTTGTAGTCCTGGTTTAGTTCTGGTTTAGTCCTCCAGTAGTCCTGGTTTAGTCCTGGTTTAGTTCTGGTCCTGGTTTAGTCCTCTTGTAGTCCTGGTTTAGTCCTGGTTTAGTCCTCCAGTAGTCCTGTATTGTCTGGTTTAGTTCTGGTGTAGTTCTGTCTTCTCTTGTACATTTCTTTTTCTGACTCTCTTTTCTCTCTCTGTTCTCAGACCTCTTGTAGTCCTGGTTTAGTTCCTGGTTTAGTCCTCCAGTAGTCCTGGTTTAGTCCTTGGTTTAGTCTGGTTTAGTCCTGGTTAGTCCTAGTCCTTTAGTCCTTTTAGAGTCCTGTCTGGTTTAGTTCTGGTCTTTTCTTTTCCTGTTCTCTTCTCTGTTCTAGTCTGGTTTAGTTCTGGTTTAGTCCTTAGTCTTTAGTTCTGGTGTCTCTTTTCTACTCTCTTTCTCTCTCTGTCCAGACCTCTTGTAGTCCTGGTTTCCTCTTTTAGTCCTGGTCTTAGTCCTGGTTTTTAGTCCTGGTTGGTTTAGTCCTGGTTTAGTCCTGGTTTAGTCCTTTAGTAGTCCTGGTCTAGTAGTCCTGGTTTAGTCCTGTAGTCCTGGTTTAGTCTTTAGTCCTGGTTAGTCTGGTTTAGACCTGGTTTAGTCCTGGTCTAGTCTCTTAGTCTGGTTTAGTCCTGGTTTAGTCCTGGTTTAGTCTGGTTTAGTCTGGTTTAGTCCTGGTTTAGTCCTGGTCTTTTAGTCCTCTGGTTTAGTCCTGGTTTAAGTCCTGGTTTAGTCTGTTTAGTCTGGTTTAGTCTTTTAGTCTGGCTGGTTCTTTAGTCCTCTAGTTCTTTTAGTCTGGTTTTTGTCCTCTCTTTTAGTCCTGGTCTGGTTTAGTCCTCTCTATCCTGTTAGTCCTTTTAGTCCTGAGTCCTGGTAGTCCTGGTTTAGTCCTGGTTTTCTGGAGTCCTGGTTTAGTTCTGGTTTAGTCTGGTTTAGTCCTGGTTAGTCCTGGTTTAGGTTCCTGGTTTAGTCTCTGGTTTAGTCCTCTTTTAGTCCCTGGTTTAGTCCTGGTTTAGTCCTGGTTTAGTCCTGTTTAGTAGTCTGGTTGTCCTGGTTTAGTCCTGGTCTAGTCCTGGTTAGTCCTGGTTTGTCCTGGTTTAGTCCTGGTTTAGTCCTAGTCTGGTTTAGTCTGGTTTAGTCCTGGTTTAGTCTGGTTAGTCCTGGTTTAGTCCTGGTTTAGTCCTGGTTTAGTCTGTTTAGTTGGTTAGTCCTGGTTAGTCCTGGTCCTGGTTAGTCCTGGTTAGTCCTGTTTAGTTTTAGTCCTGGTTTAGTCCTGGTCTAGTCCTGGTTAGTCCTGTCCTGGTTAGTAGTCCTGGTTTAGTCCTGGTTTAGTCCTGGTTTCCTGGTTTAGTCCTGGTTAGTCCTGGTTAGTCCTGGTTTAGTCTGGTTTAGTCTGGTTAGTCTGGTTTAGTCCTGGTTAGTCCTGTTTAGTTCCTGGTTTAGTCCTGGTTTCCTGTTTAGTCCTGGTTTAGTCCTGTTAGTCCTGGTTTAGGTTTAGTCTGGTTTAGTCCTGAGTCCTGGTTTAGTCCTGGTTTAGTCCTGGTTAGTCCTGGTTTAGTCCTGGTTTAGTCCTGTTAGTCCTGTTTAGTCCTGGTTAGTCCTGGTCCTTTTAGTCCTGGTTTAGTCTAGTCCTGGTTTAGTCCTGGTTTAGTCCTGTTTAGTCCTGTTTAGTCCTGGTTTAGTCCTGGTTAGTCCTGGTTAGTCCTGGTTAGTCCTGGTTTAGTCCTGGTTTAGTCCTGGTTAGTCCTGGTTTTAGTCCTGGTTAGTAGTCCTGTTAGTCCTGGTTTAGTCCTGGTTTAGTCCTAGTCCTGGTTTAGTCCTGGTTTAGTCCTGGTTTAGTCCTGGTTTAGTCCTGGTTTAGTCCTGGTCTGGTAGTCCTGGTTTAGTCCTGGTTTAGTCCTGGTTTAGTCCTGTTTAGTCCTGGTCTAGTCCTGGTTGGTTTTAGTCCTGGTTTAGTCCTGGTTTAGTCCTGGTTTAGTTCCTGGTTAGTCCTGGTTTAGTCCTGGTTTAGTCCTGGTCCTAGTCCTGGTTTAGTCCTGGTTAGTCCTGGTTTAGTCCTGGTCTAGTCCTGGTTTAGTCCTGGTTTAGTCCTGGTTTAGTCCTGGTTTAGTCCTGGTTTAGTCCTGGTTTAGTCCTGGTTTAGTCCTGGTTTAGTCCTGGTTTAGTCCTGGTTTAGTCCTCCTGTAGTCCTGTCTTTTCTCTTGTTCTTCTCTTTTTCCTGACTCTCTTTTTCTCTCGTTCTCTTTTCCTTTTTCTCTCTCTTCTTCAGTCGTCTGCCGTCTCCTTCGGCTTCTCCTCTTTTCTCTCGAAACACGTTGCCGCGGAAACAGGAAAGGTAAAAACTGTGGCTTTGGTCCGAACGCAGACGCCGCCGCACGGAGCTGTTTGTTCTGGATTCAGTGTTGAAGCAAAACTATTATTAAACATTTATTTTAATAAGAAAAGAAGAGAAAACATGCAAATTTTTCAATAAATATTTAGTTTGACCCACGACTTAATCCAGTTTTTAATTTTGGCCTCTGTGAGTTTGAGTTTGAAGCTCCTGTTTTAATACATTTACATTTTAGAACAGTGTTGATCTTATATTTTACACTTTCAAAAAGCTTTACGACACATTTATTCTCAAATACCTGAACCTATTTGAGAATAAATGATTATTAGACTGATCCACCTGTTCAATAGTACATTTATTTGAGAGTCTCTTGGATCTTTGTTTTCACTAAATCTAGATCAATGTAGATTTTGTGCGACTCTCTCCACTCTCGTCTGATCCGACAGAACCAAACTTTTGCGATACGATTCTGAAATCCTTAGAAAAACTGAAACCTGTTGAATATTTATTTCACGTTAGTCTGAAGCGGCGTCTGTGCTTCGCTCGTGCTGCGTTCACTGTCTCTTTGGCGTGTGGGGGAAATGGATGTTTGAGAGTTTATTGATGGTTTATCGGTGTCTGTGGTCTGTGCTCCGTCTGTGCTGCGTCTGTGCTCCGTCTGTGCTGCGTCTGTGCTCCGTCAGGACACGCAAATCCTCGACTCTCTCTCTCTCTCTCTGCACATTCTTAAAGCTCCCCTGTGTAACTTTTCTGAGCCGCTTGTCTCCGTGGAGATGTGTTACTGCTTTGCCTGGTTATGTTCCGCACTGTGGCATTGTGCTCACCAAAGCTTAAAGAGAGAAAGACTGCGTGTTTTTTTTTTTTCAAGGTATTTTCGATTTTTGATAATTAATTAAATGTAGAATAATCATCTTTAATGCCGTACTGTGGAACATTTCAGGCAAAGCAATAAGAAAAGTTACATAATCCATCTTTAAAATAAAATATAGAACAGTTACCTTCAGTTTGGTGTATTTTGTTGTGGATCTTCAGTTGGTTTTGTGCATGTTTGAAGGTTTCATTTGTTCTTTGTTTTTATAGTTTTTGTTTTGTTTGTTTTTTTGTGTTTACATTGTTTATTCTCAGTTCATTACGCGGCGGTCGAAACACACTGCCAAAGAAAACACTCAGGTACTGGCTCCCCCTGCTGGTCACTGTGCTCCAGTCACTCTGTGTCTGTGTGTGTGTATGTGTCTGTGTGTGTGTCTGTGTGTGTGTGTGTGTGTGTCTGTGTGTGTGTGTGTGTGTGTGTCTGTGTGTGTGTGTGTGTGTGTGTGTGTGTCTGTGTGTGTGTGTGTATGTGTGCTGTGTGTGTGTGTGTGTGTGTGTGTCTGTGTGTGTGTGTGTGTGTGTGTGTGTGTGTGTATGTGTCTGTGTGTGTGTGTGTGTGTGTGTGTGTGTGTGTGTGTGTGTGTGTGTGTGTGTGTCTGTGTGTGTGTGTGTGTCTGTGTGTGTGTCTGTGTGTGTGTGTGTGTGTGTGTGTGTGTGTGTGTGTGTCTGTGTGTGTGTGTGTGTGTGTGTGTGTGTGTCTGTGTGTGTGTGTGTCTGTGTGTGTGTGTGTCTGTGTGTGTGTGTGTGTGTGTGTGTGTGTGTGTGTGTGTGTGTGTGTGTGTGTGTGTGTGTGTGTGTGTGTGTGTGTGTGTGTGTGTGTGTGTGTGTGTGTGTGTGTGTGTGTGTGTGTGTGTGTGTGTGTCTGTGTGTATGTGTGTGTGTGTGTGTGTGTGTCTGTCTGTGTGTGTGTGTGTGTGTATGTGTGTGTCTGTGTATGTGTGTGTGTATGTGTGTGTGTCTGTGTGTGTGTGTGTGTGTGTGTGTGTGTCTGTGTGTGTGTCTGTGTGTGTGTGTGTGTGTGTGTGTCTGTGTATGTGTGTGTGTGTGTGTGTGTGTGTGTGTGTGTGTGTGTGTCTGTGTGTGTGTGTGTGTGTGTGTGTGTCTGTGTATGTGTGTGTGTGTGTGTGTGTGTGTGTGTGTGTGTGTGTGCTGTGTGTGTGTGTGTGTGTGTGTGTGTCTGTGTGTGTGTGTGTGTGTGTGTGTGTGTGTGTGTGTGTGTGTGTGTGTGTGTCTGTGTGTGTGTCTGTGTGTGTGTGTGTGTGTGTGTGTGTGTGTGTGTATGTGTGTGTGTGTGTGTGTGTGTGTGTGTGTGTGTGTGTGTGTGTGTCTGTGTGTGTATGTGTGTGTGTGTGTCTGTGTCTGTTTTTGACACTGCAAAAAATAATCAGCTTCAAATCAATATTTTAAAATTTTTATGAAATGATTATTATTAAATTACTACTAAATTAAGAAAAAAATTACTTAATTATTCTAATTTCCGAACTTTTTTTTTTTTTTTTTTTTGCAGCACACTAGACCAGGACTAGACCAGAACTGAACTAGGACTAAATCAGGACTAAACTCGTGTGACAAACCCCCGACTTTTACCAGTGTGAGAACCATGTGGAAACAAGTTTAAACGAGGTCGAAAACAAAAAAATCAAAACAACTTAAATATTCTGAGTGATTCATGATTGTATTTTTTGCAGTGAATCTTTTTGGCTTCTGTGGCTCTGTGATTCTGTGATTTTTATGATTCTGTGATTTTTATGATTCTGTGATTTTGTGTTTTTAAATGTCGATCCTGCGTCTGATTCAAGCTCAACTCGCTCAACTAAGCCTGAGTTTTTTTAATTTATTTAAATCTGGGGGAAATTATAATTGTGAATGTTTTTACAGTGTCGTTCTGTTGTGTGTGTGGTCTGAGTCCTGACGCGTGATTGGTCCGTTCCGCAGGTATGGCCCCGCCCCTCAGCTCAGAGGCCCAGACGAGGCGCGCGATTGGCTGAGGTCTCACTCCGTCAGCGGACTCCAGGACTCTGTGGGCTCCTCCCCCTTTTCCCCTGGGTCCAGCCTCACCTCCCCCACAGGGACCAGGTTCAACTTCAGTAAGACCAGGACTAAACCAGGACTAGACCAGGACTAGACCAGGACTAAACCAGGACTAAACCAGGACTAGACCAGGACTAAACCAGGACTAGACCAGGACTAGACCAGGACTAAACAGGACTAACCAGGACTAAACCAGGACTAACCAGGACTAGACCAGGACTAAACCAGGACTAGACCAGGACTAAACCAGGACTAGACCAGGACTAGACCAGGACTAAACCAGGACTAAACCAGGACTAGACCAGACAGGACTAGGACCAGGACTAGACCAGGACTAAACCAGGACTAGACCAGGACTAGACCAGGACTAAACCAGGACTAGGACTAACCAGGACTAGACCAGGACTAGGACCAGGACTAAACCAGGACTAAACCAGGACTAAACCAGGACCCAGGACTAGACCAGGACTAGACCAGGACTAGGGACTAAACCAGGACTAAACCAGGACTAACCAGGACTAGGACTAGACCAGGACTAAACCAGGACTAGACCAGGACTAAACCAGGACTAAACCAGGACTAGACCAGGACTAGGACTAGGACTAGACCAGGACTAACCAGGACTAGACCAGGACTAAACCAGGACTAGACCAGGACTAACCAGGACCAGGACTAAACCAGGACTAGACCAGGACTAAACCAGACCAGGACTAGACCAGGACTAAACCGACCAGGACTAACCAGGACTAGACAGGACTAAACCAGGACTAGACCAGGACTAAACAGACTAGACCAGGACTAAACCAGACTAGACAGGACTAACCACCAGGACTAACCAGGACTAGGACTAGACCAGGACTAAACCCAGGACTAGACCAGGACTAAACCAGGACTAAACCAGGACTAGACCAGGACTAGACCAGGACCCAGGACTAGACCCAGGACTAGACCACCAGGACTAAACCAGGACTAACCAGGACTAACCAGGACTAGACCCAGGACTAGACCAGGACTAAAGGACCAGGACTAGACCAGGACTAGACCAGGACTAAACCAGGACTAACCACCAGGACTAAACCAGGACTAAACCAGGACTAACCAGGACTAGGACTAAACCAGGACTAAACCGGACTAGAACCAGGACTAGGACTAACCAGGACTAGACCAGGACTAGGACTAGACCAGGACTAAACCAGGACTAACCCAGGACTAACCCAGGACTAGACCAGGACTAGACCAGGACTAAACCAGGACTAAACCAGGACTAAACCAGGACTAAAGGACCAGGACTAGACCAGGACTAAACCAGGACTAACCAGGACTAGGACTAGGACAAACCAGGACTAGACCAGGACTAGACCAGGACTAACCAGGACCAGGACTAAAACCAGGACTAGGACTAGACAGGACTAAACCAGGACTAACCAGGACCCAGGACTAGACCAGGACTAAACTAAACCAGGACTAAACCAGGACTAGAACCAGGACTAAACCAGGACTAGACCACCAGGACTAAACCAGGACTAACCAGGACTAGGACTACCAGGACTAAACCAGGACTAAACCAGGACTAGACCAGACTAAACCAGGACTAACAGGACTAAACCAGGACTAAACCAGGACTAAACCAGGACTAGGACCAGGACTAAACCAGGACTAAACCAGGACTAGACCAGGACTAGGACTAGACTAGACAGGACTAGACCAGGACTAAACCAGGACTAAACCAGGACTAAACCAGGACTAAACCAGGACTAGACCAGGACTAGACCAGGACTAAACCAGGACTAGACAGGACCCAGGACTACTAGACCAGGACTAAACCAGGACTAGACTAAACAGGACTAGACCAGGACTAGACCAGGACTAAACCAGGACTGAAAGGACCAGGACTAAACCAGGACTAAACCAGGACTAGACCAGGACTAGACCAGGACTAGACCAGGACTAAAAACCAGGACTAAACCAGGACTAAACCAGGACTAAACCAGGACTAAACCAGGACTAAACCAGGTCTAAACCAGGACTAAAACCAGGACTAGACCAGGACTAAACTAGGACTAGACTAGGACTGAACCAGGCCTAAACTAGGACTAAACCAGGACTAAACCAGGTCTAAACCAGGCCTAAACTAGGACTAAACCAGAACTAAACCAGGACTAAACCAGGTCTAAACCAGGCCTAAACCAGGACTAAACCAGGACTAAATCAGGTCTAAACCAGGCCTAAACCAGGACTAAACCAGGACTAAACCAGGACTAAACCAGGACTAAACCAGGACTAAACCAGTCTAAACCAGGACTAAGCTAGGACTAGACCAGGTCTAAACCAGGACTAGTCCAGGACTAAACCAGGTCTAAACCAGGACTAAACCAGGACTAAACCAGGCCTAAACCAGGACTAAACCAGGACTAAACCAGGACTAGACCAGGAATAAACCAGGACTAGACCAGGACTGAACCAGGCCTAAACCAGGACTAGACCAGGACTAAACCAGGTCTAAACCAGGACTAGTCCAGGACTAAACCAGGACTAAACCAGGACTAGTCCAGGACTAAACCAGGACTAAACCAGGACTAAACCAGGTCTAAACCAGGACTAAACCAGGCCTAAACCAGGACTAGACCAGGACTAGACCAGGAATAAACCAGGACTAGACCAGGACTGAACCAGGCCTAAACCAGGACTAGACCAGGACTAAACCAGGTCTAAACCAGGACTAGTCCAGGACTAAACCAGGACTAAACCAGGACTAGTCCAGGACTAAACAGGACTAAACCAGGACTAAACCAGGACTAAACCAGGTCTAAACCAGGACTGAACCAGGCCTAAACCAGACTAGACCAGGACTAAACCAGGCCTAAACCAGGTAACAGGACTAAACCAGGTAAACCAGTAAACCAGGACTAAACAGAAACCAGGACTAGTCCAGGACTAAACCAGGACTAAACCAGGTCTAAACCAGGACTAAACCAGGCCTAAACCAGGTCTAAACCAGGACTAAACCAGGTCTAAACCAGGCCTAAACCAGGACTAAACCAGGACTAAACCAGGACTAATCTCTTGTGTCTTGGTTGTTGCAGCCTCTAGTCCCACCTCTGCCGCTCACATGACCCTGGCGGGTCTCAGGACCAACAGTCTGACCCAGGACTGTCTGGACCAGTCCGAGTCCAGGCTCCGGACGTCCTGCATGTCCCTGGACGACAAGACCCGGACCATGAGCCGCTCCGGATCCTTCAGGGACGGTTTCGAGGAAGGTGAGACCAGAACCTCAACACACAGAACAGACGTGGGCCGCAAAATTATGATGCTCTGTTCCACCTTGTGATGTCATCGTGTGGTGATACAGGAAGTGCTCCACTGTGTTTTTAAACTCCACACACCTTCACTGGAATCATCTGGATCATTTCAGACCTGGAACTTGAAAACTAAAAAAAATAAATAAATAAAGCAGGACTAAAGTAGACCAGAACCAGGACTAAACTAGGACTAAACCCGGACTAAAAGAAGGTCCAAACCAGGTCCAAATAAGTTCTAAACCAGGACTAAAGCAGGACCAAAACAGGACTAAACCTGGAGTAAACAAGGTCCAAACCACAAATAAACCAGGTCTAAATTAGGTCCAAATCAGGACTGAAGCAGGACTCAACCAGGTCTAAAGCAGGACTAAACCCGGACTAAACCAGAACTGAAACAGGACTTAACAAGGACTGAACCAGGACTAAACCAGGACTAAAGCAGGTCTAAATTTGGTACAAACCAGGACTAAACTAGGACTAAATCAGGACAAAACCAGGACTGAACCAAGGGTAAAACCAGGATTAAACCAGAACTAAACCAGGACTAAACCAGAACTAAACCAGCACTGAACCAGGAGTAAAACCAGGTTTAAACCAGAACTAAACCAGGACTAAACCAGGACTAGACCAGGACTGAACCAGGTCTAAAACCAGGTTAAAACCAGGACTAAACCAGGTCTAAACCAGGACTAGACCAGGACTAGACCAGGACTAGACCAAGACTAAGGACTACAGGACTAAACCAGGTCTAAAACCAGGTGTAAACCAGGACTAGACCAGGACTAAACCAGGACTGAACCAGGACTAAATCAGAACTAAACCAGGACTGAACCAGGTCATTACAGCCCTTCTCATGTGACTGGAGCTGTAATCCGGCTCTGTGTGTGTGTGTGTGTGTGTGTGTGTGTGTATAGTGTGTGTGTGTGTAGTGTGTGTGTATGTGTGTGTGTATATAGTGTGTGTGTGTGTGTGTGTGTGTGTGTGTGTGTGTGTATAGTGTGTGTGTGTGTGTGTGTGTGTGTATAGTGTGTGTGTGTGTATAGTGTGTGTGTGTGTGTGTGTGTGTGTGTGTGTGTGTGTGTGTGTGTGTGTGTGTGTGTGTGTGTGTGTGTGTGTGTGTGTGTGTGTGTGTGTGTGTGTGTGTGTGTGTGTGTGGTGTGTGTGTGTGTGTGTGTGTGTGTGTGTGTGTGTTGTGTGTGTGTGTGTGTGTGTATAGTGTGTGTGTGTGTGTGTGTGTGTGTGTGTGTGTGGTGTGTGTGTGTAGTGTGTGTTGTGTGTGTATATGTGTGTGTGTGTGTGTGTGTGTGGTGTGTATAGTGTGTGTGTGTGTGTGTGTGTGTGTGTGTGTGTGTGTGTGTGTGTGTGTGTGTGTGTGTGTGTGTGTGTGTGTGTGTGTGTGTGTGTGTTGTGTGTGTTGTGTGTGTGTGTGTGTGTGTGTGTGTGTGTGTGTGTGTGTGTGTGTGTGTGTGTGTGTATAGTGTGTGTGTGTGTGTGTGTGTGTGTGTGTGTGTGTGTAGTGTGTGTGTGTGTGTGTGTGTGTGTGTGTGTAATAGTGTGTGTGTGTGTGTGTGTGTGTGTGTGTGTGTGTAGTGTGTGTGTGTGTGTGTGTGTGTGTGTGTGTGTGTGTGTGTGTGTGTGTGTGTTGTGTGTGTGTGTGTAGTGTGTGTGTGTGTGTGTGTGTATAGTGTGTGTGTGTGTGTGTGTGTGTGTATAGTGTGTGTGTGTGTGTGTGTGTGTGTGTGTGTGTGTGTGTGTGTGTGTGTGTGTGTGTGTGTGTGTGTAGTGTGTGTGTAGTGTGTGTGTGTGTGTGTGTGTGTGTGTGTGTGTGTGTGTGTGTGTGTGTGTGTGTGTGTGTGTGTGTGTGTGTGTGTGTGTGTGTGTGT